CCCGTACTTTGAATTCTATGCCATTGCGGGTTTTTTTGCAGAGCAGCAGCAGCAACAGCAGCAGCAGGAGCCAGCGGAGCAGGAAGAGGGAGCACGAGAGGAACCGAGCCAGGGACTTGAGTTCCTGCGCCAGTTGCCCCAATTTGAGCAACTTCGTGAAATGGTCCAGTCCAATCCGTCGCTTCTTCCTCAGATCATCCAGCAGATCGCCCAGTCCAATCCGGCGCTCATGGAAGCCATCCAGAATAACCAGGTAATAATTGTCCAATTTGTTCAGAGCAACAAAAACAACAAAAATTTTCATGTTTCAGCCTGGGAGAAATTGTATCACTGAAGGAATAAAATTTTAGCTTCCTAGCTTCCATGGTTCCTGAGGTAATAATTTTCCTCACCAAAACTTTTACGGGGCCGTACGTGTTACCCTCGGGCACGGAGAGGGTGAATTTAAATTTGCTGGGTCACACGTAGATGGGGAATATTCCCCTGAATTTTCAGCTTCCTAGCTTTTGTGGTTCCCGCGTGCAAAGTTGCGGGCAAGTTGTTGTGGACAGACACACACACACGCACGCACACACACACACACACACACAAACACACACACACACATAGACAACCTCCTGACAGTGTGCGTTTTGTACTGCTGTTACACAGCACAAAAAGCATAATAATTCGCAGACCCGAATAGTATGCATCGGCTTTTTTCGTGGCTCGGTACAGTCGGTGTTTAGGTGTAACGATCGAAAGATGCCCGAACGGGGGCTGCTGCTATGTAGGAACGGTGTTGCTGCGGAGCTGTGGAAGGCGTTTGCCCAAACTAATAAATAAAGCTTTATTAGTACAAGCACAAAACAAAAACTCACAAAGCTCGGAAAATTCGGCGATAGTTTCAAGCTTCCGCCGCAAAATTCTTATAATACGGAAACAATTCAAATTTCATTTCTAATCGCATCATTACATATCACGAAGGGGAATTCGAGTCAGGAGACGGGGCGAGGCGAAGGGGTTTAGCCGTCAGCTTCGTTTCCGGGTCGTTAGCACCTTGTTCCTTTCGCAGCACAGGCTTTAATGCTGAAACAGTGTAGCTTCAAGTATTACAGAATTGTAATTTTAATTTTAGATGGTGTGTGTTTATGTAAGAAGTAAGGGAATAAAAGGGGGATGTGAATAAGTTAAAAAAAAATGTCTGTGTGAATAAGTTAAAAAAAAAAAAGAAAGCGAAACGAACCCTTTAGCCGATTAATGAGCAGTGTAGTGTGCGCCCGTTTCACTGGCATTTTGTAGCCTTCATCGATTTTGCTCCAAAAATAATTTGATGTTGTTCTGATACGTTGTCAGCATGGCTACTGTGGGATCAGGGCGCTTCCCTGCTGTAATGGCGTGAAAGCCGAAAATGAGACTTAGCGGTAAAACTGTGTTGTGTCTGGGACAGGGAATAGTAGCTTAGCCTCCATAAGCTGGGTACTTTTCTTTGGGTTTTCTCTGGATTTTCCTCCATTTAGCGCCTGGGTCAATGCTGTAATCCAGCACTGCCTCCCTGAAGTTTTGAGTCGCCTTTCTGATTACTTGAATTGTTTTTCACACTTTACAGAAACAGCACCTGTTTGTAAATGCTCCAGGAATTTTAAAAATACAAACAATGAATATCCCTGGCTAGGAGATTTGAAGAGGTCGGGGGGCGTAAAACTCTCA